TAATGCTTAGCATCGAGTGGATATGAATATGAGATGGAAGCTTATACGATAGTTGAGTCTGGCTTCCCAAATGGGTTCCTTCTACCTTAGTTGAGTCTCGGGTTCCCAAGTATGTATCTCATGAGATGGAAACCTTCTACGCTAGTTGAGTCCGGACTTCTAGTAATAATCTCCTTATCCCATAAACTATGTGCCCTCATATGTATTTAGCTAGTGGATCCACCTAAGCTAAGAGTATGGTTCTACCTTCGACAAGTAGGACAACCCCTTTTCGGTGTGGGGTAGACACCGGATTCCATGTTAGCTCACATGATCTATGTCGGTAAGGCTTAATTCCACTATGACAACAATATGAACAAGAATATGAATTATGAACTATGGTTACTTAAGAAGCTTTACTTAGCATGGGTGAGATTTATGGGGTCTTATTCATGCATTGCACAAGTATGATTTGAGGGTATTTATGGCATGTTCCTCTTATGTTATGATGCTCTATGTAATGAATATGCTTATGACTTATGCTTTTTCCACTATTTTCATAATGATGTTTAAACTTAGTAAATTGCATGCATTCTACTAAAATGTCCCCTTTTAGCATGTTTTCAATGTGTTTACGCATGGCTATCATACTTAGTGCATTTTTGTACTAACGTATACTTTTTCTATATTTTTTTCACCAAGTGTAGGGTCCGGTTCTCAAGGTGCTAATCGTTGTGGCTAGAAGCTTGGATTTGCTTATTCTCCTAGCTTGTTGGTAAGTCCTCATGATTCAAGTACGGGTGTTGTCTCTTTGTAGTTCATTTCTTGTATTTCCTTTTCGGACTATGTTGTGTGGGCTGTGTCCCTTTTCTCATTCGAATATTGTAATAGATGACTATGTTGAGACTTAGAGTCAAGACTTCCGCTTTTCTTTGAATGAAAATTTTAGACTTGAAATGCGTTTTTACTCTTATTGTTGTATGCTTATGTTATGATATGCTAAGTGACATACATGGAGCCTTTCAGGGTTCTATGTGCCATGTTATATCTAGGGGGTACCCCTGAGTCGTGACAGACCTTGTTTGGGTGTTTTGATGATTCCATTGAGTCTGGAATATTTCCAAGCTAGTAGCATATTTGGTTTGTGTTTGAGAGGTTATGGATTAGGTTTAGGTGAGTTTTTAAGCTTTTTGGGTGCTTTGGCGTTGTTTTAACAATTTGTGTCAACTAAAAGGTTTGTTATTAGTTTTAAGGATCGAAAAATTATTTCAAAACTTCTGAAAATTTGAGCATGAATTATAGGACTGATCTACAAAGTTTGGTGCATTTCCGCTAAGTCGGGATTGGACTTTTATCGTGATATATGAAATAACTAATTTACCGAGCAGAAATAATATTTGACTAGGCAAACGAGCATAGAATTGAGTTTCGATTGAACGAGAAGGTCCGTATCATTATTTAAGACATTTAGGAAAAAGAATCGGGTCATTTTGCTATGGTGTTAGGAAGTTACGACCTTTTAGTGAAAATTCAGCGATTGGTTTCTAGTGTAAATATTGTTGTTTTAGGTATTTAAAATTTCAGATTGTGTTCATTTGATATTTTGAGGATATTGAGAGTTCTAGAGTTAGGATGAAGTGATTCTTGCACCATTCTTCTCGATTTAATATGAGGGTTAGTATCAAATCCCCATTTCAGCATTATCTCATGATTTCTTCATCTGATTTTCTTTTCTTATCCGTGTATTACTTAGGGAAAATTGTGATTATATCAATTTGGACTCAGTTTTTGATGAAAAATGTATATTTAGGATCCTTACATTATGGGCAGACTTATTTTGGCATAAACTGGTTATATTGATTTATTATTAATGATGTATCATGATTGTGTTGTTAGAGGTTGAGTATTGATATGAAAATTATCATTTTCTTAGTATTTGTGTGGACATGCTTATTTGCATTGGTTTTAAAACAATGTGATGAGATCTATTTTGATGATTATGCCGATGGAAAATGATTTCGGCGATGCCAATGGGAAATGATTCCGAAAATTGATGAGCATACTAATGGAAAATGGTTCTGACGGCTACATGGACTTTATGAGTCTCCCATGGGTCCCAGCCTGATATTCACTGGGTGTGTATCGTTAGGACATACATGCATCACTATATTTGACATCTCATTTCATTGCATTGCACATCTTGTGAACTTTGTGACTGCTTGTTATGGACATTGTGGGTGATGAATATGAAACATTGTATTAGTGTCATGTTTATATTGAAGTGTTATTACACATATTGTGTGCTATATAAATTGTGAACTGTTTGGTTGGGATGACTCTGTGTGGGCTGTATTTGTAGAGGTTTGATTGGAGTGTTAGGAGTACTTGTAGTATGTATTGCTTTACTTAGAGTTATTTGTTTGCTTGCTGATGAGAACCGTCTTGTTTGATACTCACTCATTTGCTTCTACACTTGTATAGGTTACGAGTCTGGATCATCGTAATCTCTTTTACGTCTGAGGCTTACTGTGGAGAGTTGTGAGGTATCTGCTTGTCATCTCAGCGGACACCTTTTACTCTTGTATTATGTTCTTGTTCTGTTCTAGAAACAAAGACATTCAGACTTGTACTTCTTTTAATCTAATGTAATACTTAGAGGTTTGTACACATGACAATCAGGTTTTGAGGTTATATTTGAGCTATGTTATATTATTCGTGTTGTTGAAAATATGTTAGTCTTTTATTCTAATTTACTTTCACATTTCCTTATTTCGTTGGGTTTTGTCTAACCTGTGTTGATGGGATAAGACGGATGCCATCACGACTAGATTTTGGGTTGTGACATCTTTCTCCTACATCAAAGATAATCAATCCTCTTCTTTTCATAATGCTTCATTTTTTCAATTTATTCCTTCCACTTTCAATTGGTAATCTCACTTTTTTAAAATACAAATATTATGATTGTTTTAGTGTTAAATATGATAACTAATGATGCTCAATATATTTTACAACAAGATATTTGGATTAATAAAGTATATGATGCTATCTATGGATCTTTAATTTCAGGGTACTCTTTGAAGGTTCCTAAATATAGTGTAATCTTGTGTTTAAAAATCTTATTCGTGTTGATTGGTGCAATTATTATACAACTTAAAAGGCTTTTTAGTTTGATATCATGACTCAGTATCTTCTATTTGACCGTCTTACAACTTTTATGCAATATGTTGGTTTCTATTGATGTTATTTTGCCTTCGTTTTTAGAACATGTGTATTTTATTTTCTCTTATATGCTTATGCATATTTTTCTTAATCATTTTACAACTTTTAAATTTCTCACAATTTTCCCAATTGAAAGTTTAATATTTTGAATTTCATTTTTATTTTTTTCCTCATATATGTGCTACTTTAAAATATTTTTACTCTTGTAACTCTCTTAATTATATAAATATAAATATGCAATGTTAAGAAACTAAAAAAGTCAATTCTTTAACGTAAAATTTAATGACCTTGATATTTATTACCCACACATTTTTTTTTAATTAACTCACAATTTTTTGTTATCATAACCTATAAATAATTAATAATCATATTCATTATTTCCATATTATAGTCCTTATAAATATATTATCATGACACTATTTCCATATTATAGTCCTTATAAATAGATATATTGTAAGACTTTGTAAAACGTTTACGTTAGTCTTTTGGATTATGTCTTTTTTGTGCTTATTATATTCATGTTTAGTTTGACTCGAATAATAAGCTAAAGATTATTGAATAATAATCGACTTGTGCGAGTATATGCAGACAAGAACTTGGGTCGTAGTTTGTACAACTGTAACCAATAATTTGTAGTTTGAGATATTAAGAGGGGTAGAGTCATAAATTGGAAGTATGTGACCCCTAATATGGAAAGAGGAGAAGAGAAATGGAGGAAACATTCTTATTCTTATTTATATTTATATTATATAATTATATATATAATTATATATATATAAATATATATAAAGAGAACCTTAGGCTCGCCTACGTGACGCCACCACAAACCATAATTCACTTTTAATTTATTTATTTCCAATACTAGCCTTTCCCTTTCATGAAAAGTTGTGACATTTACGAAAAGTTGTGACTTTTATGAAAGTTGCGACTTTAATTAAGAGTTGCGACTTTTATGAAAAATTGTGATTTTTATGAAAAATTGTGACTTTTATGAAAAAATGCGACTTTAATGAAGAGTTGCGACTTTTATGAAAGGTTGTGACCTTTCTGAAGAGTTGCAACTTTTCCAAATAGTTGTAACCTTTTCGATATGACACAATAAATATTTGTTCACACTACCATCTGCTGTCTATAAATAGAGAGATTTCCTCTCATTTTAACAACGAAAATTTTGAACCTCTTCTTCTTCTTCTTCACAATTGAATATTTGTGTACTTTACTCATGTTGAGTGGCTCAGTGACACTATTGCTTCTGCTACAAATCCTGGTATGTATTTTTATTATCATTAATTTATGCTTATGTTATTAAAGATAAATGATAAGATGTAATAATTTTCATTTTCCTTTACCTCATTAATTTTTTATGTAAGATAATATAGTGTTCTAGTTTTAGTAACTGATAAATTTTAAGTATTATTTTATATATTTCGTGATATTAAATTCTCGCGCAAAGCGCGGTTAATTTTATTAGTATAATATATAAGGGAGGCAGCAGTTGGACGACATGTGTGCTTCCGAGCCAAGGGGTGTTTTAGAGATTTTACGTGCTCTTGTTGGGATAGTTTAGTACTTCTGTTGTAAAGCCTAAGCGGTGTAGTCGAGATGGTTCACTTTGTTTCGCTGGGTTTCACAAAGCTTCTTCCCCGCTGATAAACCTCTCCTTCCAGCTCAGTCTCGCTAATCTCGGTGTTCATCCTTTGACGTCTGTGAGTTCGCTTTCATCACTGCTCTGGATTTTAGGTTTTGATTTGAGTTCTCTTTCTGTAGTTGATGTTGTCTCCTCCCCTATTTGGGAATTCGTAGTTCCTCCTTTCATGTGATTGCATGTGTGAACTTAGTTTGTGATTTTTGGTCAAACCTAATATTGGCTTGTTTAGCTGTTCAACAATTTCTCTCTATATAAATGAATTTCTTGTTATTTGGGTGTTCAGCGATTCTCTCTCTTTTCCGATAAATTCAGTAAAATTTTGATCTTGGAGGCAGGAGGGGAGCTACAGTAGTACCGAGTTTATTAAATATTTCCTCTGTTTTATTCCTAACACTGGTTTCTCCATCTATAATTATTTTTAGCTCCAGTATATTAGCAGTTTCTCCTCAAAATGAACCTTATACTTGTTCTAATTAATATTTTCTACGCCTAGTGTCTTGCTGACTGATTTGTTCCTCTGTGAACATACAATTCATTTCTCTTTTCTGCTTCTCCATATATCCTTGGCTCCCTAAATATGCTAATTGATTTTATCCCTGCATATGATACATTAATAAGCCTTGTTGAGTTTGACAAGATGACTTATGCATCAACTATTCCTGCTTATGCTTAATAATCAGCATATGTATTAATCAATCTCACGATATATAAGATGTCTGAAGTTCGAGTTGCGAGCATGAACTCGCTCTTGTTAGGCCGTGCTACATTCCTATATGGGACTTACCAATGCAAATTTGGTTTATTATATTTATTGAAATACAACCTTCAAATGTTAAACTGAGTTTTCATCGTCCTATCCAGTTCATTTAAAGTACTCCTCACCCTCAAATCTTAGAGAGAGTTTTCATCGTCGTGTCCAGTTTAATCAGTTTAGAGAGTTAGGACTTAGGAGAAGTGGAGAATGATAATACGAAACAACGAGAAGTTAACCCGTGCAACTACGTTAGCTCTACCCACCAAATTTAGGCTAATGAAAAGAAATTGCATTAGAATTTGCTTTAGAAGTAATACTGATAGGTATATTGTTTATTCAACAAATCCATTAAGAATTGGAATAAACTTTTGTGGAAATCTAATATGCTAATGAGGTCTCTTTATATATCTTCCACCTCCAGTAAGAATCACGTTCCTGCACTAATGAAACACCAATATGGATTAGTTTGACATTTTATTCCTAGGAAATTTGATATAGTAATTCATTACTTACCTGTTCAAAAAGATAATAAATTTAGTAGTTTCCATATTTTTGTTGTTGGTTCAGTTGAGCTGCAGTTTCCTTTACTTGTTTTTATTCAATTTAAATCCTTTCAAGTTGACTGCTTTAAGGATATTTACCAGATTGTTGTACCAACACAAAGTTAAACTCCCAACAACTTCTCAGTCCCAAACAAGTGATATATTCGAAACAGCATGATTTTATTTGAATACAATCATATCTGCAGATCCAAGTTCATTAAACTTTACTTTATCTATGTTACTGTTTTTTAGAATATAATTTGAGTTTGCTTTATGTTCTGGCATTACTTTGCAAATTCGATATTGCTTATTTACATATTTGAATTTTCATCTTGAGAAGATGTATAATTGAATTTTGTTTGGAGACAGAGGGAATTTCCCTATTGAATTGCACCCAAGTGTGTGGCCTAAATATATATATATGTGGATTATCTACTTACAGAATACAGGATATACAGCCCACACACTTACAAAGATTAGGCCAACAGATATCTGGAGCCAGTCAAATATCCAAGGACGTTTCCCTTCACATTTACTTGAAAATACTGAGGTAACATCTAATTCTGTTGTGCTTTTCAAGAGTATGCACAACTTTTTGAATCATTCTGCGTGTACTCAAGCTGAATTTGTGATTCCTTTAAACTTATTTAGGTTAAAGGCTTGGATATGGATTCACTTTACATTACATCTAACACTAACATAAACCTCATGGCTGCACCAAAAGATTACTAGAAATAAAAAGCATGCCCCAAGTGCACAATTTTTTTTCCCACACCTTCAAGGCCCTCCTGGTTTTTTCCCTTCAAAGTATCCACATAATAATCAAAGGAGCGGCATCCCATCCTCTGCATCTTCTTTTCCTTAGCTGGACAGAACAACCTTGAACTCTAGCTGGCATTGACCACTAATTATATACGAATATTTAGGACTAAATAGTGTTCTTCAGAATCTTAAACTTGGGATGTATTTTTTAGTACTTCTATAACTTAGGTGGTGTTAATGGCCATGAACCTGCTCATGGTGGATTTGTTGGAGAAGCGATGCTGACTGCAGCTATCTATGGACACGTTTCTGCCTCTCCAAATGTTGGTTCCTCTTTAGTACTGTTCTTTTAGGTGTAGTTCCGTCAAGGTGCCAAGATCAGCGCGATAAAGAAAGATAGATTCACAGTGGGGTGACGTGCCTAAGTTCCCTAAGTTAGTTAGCGAATACGAGTTGCCCCACTTTAATGACTTCGTTGAGGAGAGACAAAGGTGACTAAATAGTGTTCTTCAGAATCTTAAACTTGGGATGTATTTTTTAGTACTTCTATAACTTAGGTGGTGTTAATGGCCATGAACCTGCTCATGGTGGATTTGTTGGAGAAGCGATGCTGACTGCAGCTATCTATGGACACGTTTCTGCCTCTCCAAATGTTGGTTCCTCTTTAGTACTGTTCTTTTAGGTGTAGTTCCGTCAAGGTGCCAAGATCAGCGCGATAAAGAAAGATAGATTCACAGTGGGGTGACGTGCCTAAGTTCCCTAAGTTAGTTAGCGAATACGAGTTGCCTCACTTTAATGACTTCATTGAGGAGAGACAAAGGTTGTTTTATGATATGCTATTAAGTATTACCCCCTTTGGTTAGCGTGCAGACGTATATAAGTTCTTCCCTATTGATGTCTGCCTACTGACCTGATTCAATATAGGGCATACGAGCTGTCACAGATCCCACGCAGTGCCTTCTTTTTGTCAAGATCCCATTCATCCTAGCTGTTAGTTTGATTACTGCCCTTGTCTAGCTTTACCAGTTAGGTTTAACGGACTTGACAATGCACGTAAAGGATCACCAATTATCATCCTACTTTAGGTTATATATTTTTATTATGACGACGACAATTGCAATAGCCGATTAATCATCAAAAACTGGAAGATAAGTACACACTGATATCTGATGAACTTCACAGGAAAAACCAAACTCCAAGGGCACCAAATTTTCATGATCTTTTCACAAGTTGTTTCTTCAATGCTCTATTATAAAGGGTACTTGGAATATTGTTGTGCTTCTTATGCAGAACTATACATATTAAGGAAAAGACTCGATTGATCTTTCTTGCTTCCTTGTTGAATTCAATTTTATGAGATGCTGGCTAATCTGGGTAACAGTCATTTTACCTATGTGCCTCACAGTATTTTTTGGGTTGAAGCTTGCAAATATCATTGGTTTCAGTTGCTTTCCCATATGTCTTTTCTGAATTTCACTTCCTGATGTTACATTATCCGTTTGCACGTTGCCAGGACAGGTGAATAGTAAGTTCCTTCATAGGCACAATAGTACTCATGATTTGATAAGTCATGCTTTACTACATGAAACATGTCATATTACATTCATGTGGATGTCGTTGGTCTCTTCAAATGTGTCTGCTACAGTTGAAACTTCCAAGATCTAACTACTTAGAATTCTGTGATCTCCACTTCTCCAGTATCAAATTGTTTGCACTATTTCCCCCTTTTTCCAGCATGGCAAATCAGGAGCTGCTGTAACTGACTTTCAACCAGTAAATACATGTTACTCCTTCGATTTTAATTTATGTGCACAGTTGGAATTTGTTGAATTATCTAAATTTTTATATGGTTTTTAAAGATTTTAAGTTGTTAATTATAGTGATTTATAGTATTTTTTGCATAATGTTCAAATAATTACTTCTCATGTCCCAATTAACGTGGCACAAATAGAATTTGAAGAGTTAACCAAATTTTTATGTATCTTTCAAATATTTCTAATTGTTAATTATTGTGATTTATCATATTTTTTACGTCATTTTCAAATAATATATGCCTCTTTTTCTCTCAGGGGTTATGGCGAAGTAAGATTGGGTCAATAAAATCGTTATTTGTATCCAGAATGAGGAGAAGATTCCCAATTTTCAGTGTTGTTCGTTTATATTGTACAGGTAAATTTGTGAATATTAGGGCGTAGCAATTTAAACATTTTTATTTAATTCATGGCCATTATAGGGAATGCAGAGGTGCAGCCTCAATTGTCTATTGACCTCATTAAAATAATGGACCAAAGGTTATCAGCGATTGAGAACAGGAATGCTCACCTTGAGCGTTTTTTAGATCAGGTGATTCACTCACTATTCCTACATGTTTGTTTTCATGCCTGAATCAATGTTTTTTCATTTATGGAACTAACTCTACTCTCTGCTTGCTCTACTGAATTAGCAGACTTTTGTATTAACTGCACACTACACTGCAGACTTTTGTATTAACTGCACACTACACTGCAATTATCTCATTTACCCATTAATTACAGCCTGAATTGACACCTTCTGAATATTCAACGGCCAACAAAGAGCTCAGGAAGCTCAGAGATTCAGTACATCTCATAAGCGAGTTAAGGGCAAAACAGAAGGTAACTCAACTTCATCTTTCTAAATGACAAACATTGATTCTGCATGCTCTATCACCTAGGAACACCAAACACATTCTCCCTTCCTATGTTCAATCCCAAATTCTAAGGGTCCGCAACCAATTAATCATTGCAAATCTACAGTATTAAAGAAAAGCACCAAACTACTAACCCATAGTCCAATACATGAGCATCCAAGACTACTATCTAAAACATTGTTTGACATTATTAAATTAAATAAATAACAATACAACTTAAACCTAGCTACCATGGTACAAGAATGAACAACTCACTGCTAATTGAAACCTCAGAAACTTCATTAGCCACGTTGCTCCCTAGTACTGACCCAAAATCTCCTTAATGTATAAACATACTCTGTATGCATTATTGATCGTCTCCTAAAAGGTGACACGGGACTATATACATACAAATAATAGTGCATTTATCAGTATTCCATATCATAAAGCATAAAAAGCATTTGAATTTTATATGCTATGACGAATCTGTCATTTAGGGCTAACCCGCTGGATCTTTGAAGCTTGTAATTGACATTTGAAGGTTCAAGCAATGAGATGCATGCTTAATAACATCATTCTTTATGCCTCTCTATAAGTACCAAGTCAAGCATGCCCTGAAACATATTGCAATACTCCAACGTGTCGAATACCGCTAACTATGAGCTTCTTTTGAAGTCTCCTAAACTTATAAATGGCTCAGTCCTGTGTCCGACCATTGAGTCGTAGACTCGTAGTACACCATCATTATTAATCACAAAGGCAGAACTCCTACCATTGTAAATACATTCTCCAAGCCCCAAACGAAAGGGATTATTGTACTATTGTGCCTCAATCTGCTCAACTAAGAAAATCTCAGTTTGTCGAGGGCTCTAAAAGCACGCTGAAGTGGTTAAGCCCTAAAACAAGGTGCAAAAGATGTTGAACGCTTTACCTCCCTTAGCGGTGCTTAAGTGTCATCATCAAGGCTCTAATACATTGCCAATAGTGTAACAACACTAAATAATTGATATTTAACTTTATCGTATTCTTTTTTCAATTTCTTCGTCTATATATTTGTTATCCATGCTTACTATTATTAGTCTTGGACTACACATACATATCTATATTTTTCTTCATTTGCACCTTTATTCAGTCTAGCCCACGGTTTATTTGAGTTTTGCACCCAAAGGCCCAATGAACCTTGGAGCTTTTTTATGCGCTTTACACCTTTGAAAACACCGGGAAGATTGTGTAACAATCCATGCAAGTGTCTTATTAGACCCTGTGGCACAAGTGTACCCCGTGGTTAGCATTACTATTTTCTTAAAAAACCCGGTTAGGCGAAGTTTGCTAATTCACAATTACAAGTCACACACAAACAACTATATTGGACTTCATGAGCTCTCACACGCCGTTCGAAGGTGGATGTTTTCGACGAGGTTATTTTCATGCGCTGGCGCGCTAGGGCTGCTCTAGTCGATTTTTTGAGTAGTTTTTTCTCTTTTGGGATCGTCTAGTCATTCTGACCAAACCCTAGCCAATTTTGTCCAGATTTGATTGCTGAATTAGGGTTCCGATGATTTCTAGGCTGTTTCCAGCTAAATCTGAATTTTTAGACCTAAGTAGGTAGTTTCCGACGAGTTTCTTATTGTTTTCAAGTCGTTTCGAAAAAATGTATTTTGGGTGTGATGTTTTTGGCTCCAAAAATATGGAGATTGGAAGTTCAAGCCCTATAATTACTTTAGAACTCTTAGGGGTCGTTTGGTAGAAAAATAAATAATGCAGGGATTAGCAAGTAACACAAGGATTAGTAGTGCTGGGATTAGTAGTGCAGGGTGTATTTTTTATCAAGTGTTTGGTTCATTGCTTCTGACTTCATCTTGTGTTTGGATTAAAACTCTACGAAAAGCTTCTTTCCAATTATACCCTTGCATTATTATGAGATTTTCTATTTTATGTAATCGGTCAAGGTAGATAATTGTCGGACAATATTTTATTTTTATGGCCTTCTTAGTAGCTAGGAGAAGAACAATTTTGTTGTCATGTTTGCTATTTTCTCACTTGAATTATTTGAGGATAAACAATTGTTATCTTAATAAATTAATCACTTAAAAACATTAATTTTCAATTTAGAATAGATAGACCATCTACTTTAAAATCGAAAATACGGTAAACAATAGTAAAATCTAATGAATCATCTACATTTACATATAAAAATTGGAAGTTGTAGTTTTAATATGTATGCAATTTATAAATGGTTCAAAATACAAACAATTAGAAACCACACATAAACCAACAAATAATATATTCAATTAAGATCACAAACGTCATGTGGTGATATATTTGCCTTTTCAATTAGTAAATGTTAAACAACTCACATTTTAAATATTGTATTGATATGTATTGCAATTATTTATTAACAAACAACTCTCTCTAAATAATAAAATTTGTAAGCTAATTTATTTAAATAAATTTACTAGTACAAATATAAAACATAAATTCAAGAAAATAAATAAAATGATTTGAGGGATATTTTCGTCTTTACATAGATAATCCCATGGTATTAAATCCAATGTATTAGTAATACCACCACATGGAAGGTATTAGTAATACCTCCTATAATACCATGTAGGGTGTATAACTAATCCATGGATTAGTTATACTTGGGCCCAAAAATTCTACCAAACATGGTACTAAATAATACCATACATAATACATGGACTATTTCTCCTAATACCTCCTACCAAACGACCCCTAAATGGGAAGTTCAAACTATTTAGCTTGGGTTCCTTGATTGACTTGGGTGTTCAAGATTACTTAACAAACAATGCTTGTGTGGTAGATGAAAAGGCAAAGGCTAGTGAGGTCCAAAAGCCAAAGCACAATGGGAGAAAATGGATGCTCAATTGTATAGTATCCTATGACGCTTGGCTGATTCCAAATTGATGCCTTCGTTTTGCCTATTCCAGACATGTTATTTTGTTTGGGAAAAGGCATGTGCTTTATACACTTATGACATCTCAATTCTATAATGTGATATCTCGGATGACTAGCATAAAGAAACAAGAATCTGATGTCTACTTACTTGGACAGGTATAGGCAATCATGGAGGAATTTGAAAATGTTGATGTCAATCACTATGAATTTGGAAAACATCAAGAGCACAAGCTTATATTGTTTCTAATTCTTACATTTGTTGGACTCCCTACTTACCATGATTCAGTGCGTGATCAGGTTTTTTTTTTTTGATAATAAGGAAAACCCGCAACAGCTACCCTTTGGGTGCACAGGGTAAAACCCCCGCTCCTATGCAATAGCTCGCAAACCACATAGGAGAGGTAACCCACACTAGTCAAACCTGGTGCGACGAGCTTGACCCAGAAGGCAAACACCCCTTGCTTTCGAGGGTGACGGGTTTCGAACTTGAGACCTCCAACATGAACTTGATCAGGTTTTAGCCAGTCTTGCAGTTCCTAAAATTGATGAATTATTCTCTCGTCTACTTTGTCTTGCTGCGCCTCCTAGTCACAAGGCAATTTAATCACCCACCGTTGACTCGTCTAATCTCGCATCTCAAATCATTGAAAATTAAACATATCAGTCTATGGAGAATTGGCGAGGAGGACGACGTTTGGAAAACCTCAATCCAAGTGTAGTTATTTTCATAAACTTGGACATATTCGTGACATATGTTATATTTCGCATGGTCCAACACCAGTTATGATCCCATTGCTCTAAAGGAATATTATGAGTTCCTTTGAAATCACGCAAGTAAGCCGTCATCTCCAAAAGTACTATGTGTTTCTCAGTTTGATCAACCATTCAATAATGCTCATATTGCCTAGACATAATATGATGAGTTCCTAGTATCAAACAAGTAAGCAAACGTCTCCACAACTAGCTTCGGTTGCTGAACCTGATGTTTCTGTTGTGGGTAATTGTTTTGCTTGTGCCACAATTTAGTACTCTTGGATCATGGGTCATGGACTCATGCGCTTCGGATCATATTTGTGGTAACAAATCACTTCTGTCCGATATTGTTTATTCACAATCTCTTCCTTCTATTACTCTAGCCAACGAGATCCAAACAAAACCAAAAGGGGTCGGAAAAGCCAAACTCCTATCTTTTGTCACTCTAGACTCTATTCTTTATGTCCCTGGTTCTCCTTTTAATCTGACATCGGTTAGTCGTTTGACGCGTGCTCTACATTGTGGCATAACATTTTTTGATGATTTTTTCTCATGCAGGACCGTAGTACGGGACAAATGATTGACACATGACATGAATCCCAAGGCCTTTACTATCTTACTGCTTCAAATTCCTTCACAACATGCTTCGTTACAGATGCTCCAAACCTAGTTCACAAATGTTTGGGACATTCGAGTTTATCCAAGCTACAAAAGATAGTGCCTAGTTTGTCTAGTTTATCTACATTAGATTGTGAGTCGTGTCAACTTGGGAAACACACCCGTAGTACACACACGTAGTACTGAGGGTCGTTCATAGTCTATTTTTTCATTAGTTCATTATGATATTTAGGGTCCTAGTAGAGTCGGTTCAACCTTAGAATTTCATTAGTGTCATTGATGATTATTTAAGATGCACTTGGGTTTTCTTAATGAAAGATTGTTCTGAGTTATTTTCCATATTCAAAAGTTTCATTGCTGAAATACCAAATCAATTTGGTGTTTCTATTCGTACTTTTCGTAGTGGTTATGCCATAGAATACTTATCCTCCTAGTTTCAAGAGTTTATGACTCACCAAAGAATTCTTCACCAGACATCTTGTTCGTACACCCCTCAACATAATAATGTAGCAGGAAGGAAGAATAGACATCTCATTGAGACTGTTCACACTCTTTTCATTGAATCTCATGTTCCGTTGCATTTTTGGGGTGATGCACTCCTTGCATTTTGTTATTTAATTAATAAAGTGCCCTCATCTTCTATTCAAAATCAGGTTCCACATTCTAGTCACAGTTTTGCTCTATCCCTTTGTGTTTTTGGGAGCACATGCTTTGTTCATAACTTAGCTCTAGGAAAAGATAAATTATCCCAGTGCTCTCAAATGTGTTTTTCTTGGTTACTCTCGAGTTCAAAAAGGGTATCGTTGTTGTTCACCTGATCTCCATTGATACCTTATGTTCGCTGATGTCACATTCTTTGAATCTCAACGTTATTATACATCTTATGATAATCTTGATGTTTCTGGGGTCTTACCAATACTTTAGGTTTACATGTACCGACTTTTGAGGAATCGATAGTTACTTCTACATCTCCAGTTGTAGTGCCACCACTCCCAACTTATCATCGTCGTCCGCGTCCAACACTAGTCCCAAATGGTTCATGCCATGCTCCATACCCTGCTCTTACTACAGACTTGCCTCCCCATAACCAACTGATTGCACTTAAAAAGGGTATACCATCCACTCAAAATCCTAACCTACTTTATACTTTCTTGAGTTATCATCATCTCTTATCACCCATTATGCCTTTGTATCTTCTTTGTCCTCTATTTCCATTCCTAAGACCAAAAGTGAAGCACTTGCTCAATTTGGATAGAGGCAAGCTATGATTGATGAGATACATGCTTTACATACGAGTGGTATTTAGGAGCTTGTCTCCCTTTCTGTAGGAAAATCTATTGTTGGTTGCCCTTGGGTTTATGCAGTCAAAATTGGTCTAGACGGTCAGGTTGATCAGCTTAAGACTCGCCTTGTTACCAACGGGTATACTCATATATGGGATTGATTATAGTGATACTTCTGCTCTCGTGGCTAAAATGGCATACGTCCATCTTTTTCTATCTATGGCTGTTGTTCGTTATTGGCCTCTTCATCAGTTGGGCATTTGGAATGCTTTTCTACATGGTGATCTTGCAGAAGAAGTCTATATGGAGAAACCACCTGGTTTTGTTGCTCATGGAGAGCCTAGTAGCCTTGTATGTCGATTGCGCAAGTCACTCTATGGTCTGAAACAGTCTCTTCGAGCTTGGTTTGAAAAGTTCAACACAATAATCTAAGAGTTTGGCATGACTCATAGTGGTGTTGATCACTCTGTGTTTTATCAGCATTTTGCACCAAATTTGTGTATTTATTTGGTTGTTTACATTGATGATATTGTTATCACTGGCAATGATCAAGATGGTATGACAAATTTGAAGCAACATCTCTTAAGCATTTCCAGACTAAAGACCTCGACAAACTGAAGTATATTCTAGGTATTGAGGTTGCTCAGTCTGGATCAGGTATTGTTACTTCTAAACACAAGTATGCCTTAGACATTTTTGAGGAGAGAGAAATGATAGGATCTAGACCCATTGATACTCCTATGGATCCGAATTTTCAGCTTCTTTAAGGACATGGGGAGCAACTTAACAATCCTGAAAGTTATAGATGGGTGTTTGGAAAGTTGAATTATCTCACAATGACTAGGCCTGCCATCTCTTTTCTTGTGAGTGTTGTAAGCAGTTTATGACTTCCCCTTGTGATAGTCATTGGAATGCAGTTGTTTATATTTTGCTATGTATAAAGTTAGCTCCAGGTAAAGAAAGGACTACTCTTTGAGGATCAAGGCCATGAGCATATCATTGGGTATACAGACGCTGATTGGGTAGGATGATCCTCTGATATATGTTCTACATCTATATATTGTGTTTTAGAGGGAGGTAATTTGGTGTCGTGGAAGAGTAAGAGATAGTGTGGTTGCTCGATCTAATGTAGAAGCAGAATATTGAGCAATGGCTGCAGCAACTGCTAAGATAGTTTGGATCAAACCGCTGCTGAGAGAGCTAAAATTTGGCGAAATCGGTTTAGATGAAATTTATGTGTGATAATCAACCAGTCTTTCATATCGCATCAAATCCAGTGTTTCATGAAAGGGACTTGGCACATTGAGAGTGATTGTCACATTGTCTAACAAAAGATACTCTCAGAAGATATTGTTATAAAATTTGTGAAGTCAAGTGATCAACTTGCAGATATCTTCACCAAGTCCCTCACCGGTCCTCGTATTAATTACATTTGTAAAAAGCTAGGTACATATGATTTGTGCAATCCTACTTGAGGGAGAGTGTTAGAATATGAATAGGAATATACAATCCCACTTAGAACAAGAATAGGAATATGAATAGTATATAGTATCCTACTTGGTAAATGATTGTATTGTAGTGTCTATAAATAGGATCTCTGTGTCGTAATATAGATACACAATTCAATAATATTTTCTCCTATATTTCTCACAACATGAACACAATATGATAACCCTGAATGTTGATGTCGGAGTCCGTTAGCACATGTACCTAACATCCTTGTGAATTTGTTGGAAGGCATTGTTATACATTTGGCGCAAATTGTTGTAAGCAAACACATTAGCTTTTTTTTTTGGGTGAGATATCAGTTCTTTCCTTGCCTTTCTCTTGATATTTATATTAATTTCTTGGGAAAAAGGACAAATATACCCCCCCGAATTATCGTAAATGTTATGCAGATACCCTCTGTCATACTTTTGGGACATTGGTGCCCCTGCCGTCCAAAAACTAGAGCATATATACCCTTCATACCAACGGACATACACGTGTCATAATCTTATCCACTGACCCGACATTTATTAAATACGGATTGACGAATAAGATTGCGCTACGTGTCCCTATTTAGTCTTCCATTAGAGTGAAGGGCATATACGCTCTAGTTTTATAATGGCAGGGGCACCAATGCCCCAAAAGTATGACTGAGGGTATCTACATACCATACATACCATACATACCATTTACGATAGTTCAGGGTATATTTGTTCTTTTTCCCTAATTTCTTTTTTAACCCTCTATTGTCCGTAGGATCATTTGTATCCTATATTATTCTCAGTCTTGCTCTAATAGATCTTGCTATTTTGTCTTTTTGCCTTCTAGGAGATTAAGGAACTGAAATCAGTAATATCTGAATGTCAAGATGACAAAGACATGCAGCAGATGGCTTCTGAAGAATTGAGTGAAGCCACAGAAGGAGAGAAGAAATTTCAGTTTCTCCTTCTGAAGTCATTACTACCCAAAGATGATGCTGACGAGAGGGACTGCATTCTTGAAGTGAGGGCAGGTAAGGAGCTTCATTGAATCTGGACGTATCTGAACTTCATTTGACCTCTACTTTCATTGGTATAAAATGTGTACTCTTTTGGTAAGTCCAATATAATGATCAATTTAAAATATTTTCAGGAACTGGAGGGGAAGAGGCTTCTTTATTTGCGATGGACATATTCAAAATGTGGGTTACTAAAACATGAGTTGAGTTCCTGGATTTCCCTTGGTTCAACTAATAACTTCTCATTCCTGATGCTGATATTATTTCAACATCAGGTATGAAAAATATTCTGTGAAAAAAGGCTGGAAGTATGAGGTTCTAGAAATAGCTGAGTCTGATCTTAAAGGATACAAGGTTTGTCCATGCTTCATACATCACCTTAAATGTTACCTGAAATATATACCATTGTTGGTTTGAAATTGCAATTAACATTGTTGGATCAAAAGGAGCTTGTAAGCTTCAAATAATGGTATTACTGCCTCCAAGTAAATGATAGTGTACCATGTTTTTATATTTCGTTGTCCCCAATTGCATGTTTTTTGACTTTGCAAAATTTATCACCAGGAAGCTATTGCTTCTATCTCTGGAGCTGGTGTGTACGGGAAACTAAAATTTGAGAGTGGAATACACAGAGTTCAGGTAGTATCACCTTAAGTCTTGTGTTTGACTGCAGTTTATCTAGCCAAATAAGAGATTTACTTCCTTTGCAGCGGGTGCCTGTGACAGAGAAAGGTGGACGTATTCACACCAGTGCTGTCTCTGTTGCAATTCTCCCGCAGGCAGATCAGGTGAGTGTTGTTAGTGCAATGCATGTGGACAGCTTATAAGAATAAATACAATTTTAAAAACTCATCAAGGGAGCAGTGTGCTCAAGGCTCCAAGATACTGCATCTAGGGACTTTAGATGCTTACCGTGCATCAGATCAAGGCTCTTCAGCACTTTTATCCTTTAAAAGGAAATGATTCTTTGCAATATTATTAATCTCATAGTTTGCATAAGCATGGGAAACACTAGGGTAGGATTGGTGGGTTAAAAATCTTAGGAGGATACAGAGCATGTCCTCATGAGTGATAGCATATTCATGCACTCACAGTGTGTGTTTGTGTTATAAAATATATATATACACACAAATATACGTGCAGGGTGTGTTCTAGCATGCAGCAGATGCACGTCTTGTTAACCCCTGGCTAGAACTTTCCATGGCTTGATGTCACATCCTTAATCTTCTACTAAGCACACGTGTGGCACTTGACAACTTGCTCATGATCTTGCACCATTTGAATATTTAGTTAATACGCTATTTATACTGCACATATTTAATCTCTTGACGAAAATAACCTTCAGCCAAAATAATTCGACCCCGTCACATTTATGGCTGTATGCTCCGCGAGCCAGATAGCGTGGCCGCTCCGCGCACGGCCAATTGCTATGTTCCTCAATTATTTCTTCATAAGTCCTTTAGCTCAACGACTCTTTGATGCGATCTTGATCATTCTAATGGGTTTCTACTCAGTCTTCGAAGCTCCGTAACAAGTCTGTATTTGCTCCAAACATGCCTATTAGCTCTGACAAATCTCCTATCCAAAGAAACACACATAATAAGCACATAGCAATAATAATAGTGATCAAGTGATGACAAAAGAAAACATATGAGGCCTTTACAACGATTAAATGTATGCATTTTATGCCGAATATCAATACCCCTCTTTATACTACTCACTTAGGTGCTAATATGCAAATAATAATTGTTACACAAGTCTCTACATATTTACAAATAAACACATTTTCTAAAATTCTCTACATGCCTAGAATATTCTAAAGCCTTTCTATCAAGACCCAAAGTATACCATAGGCGTAGCATGACTTATAGGACCCCAAGAAGCCCTACACAAGCCACTTAGCATACATCGTACAAAATAATAGAATTTAAAGAATTCAAAGGACAATCTTATATCATAAAGAGTTTGACAAAAGCGGAAGTCTAACATAAGTCTCAAAGCCATCTAATACATCATAAGGAAAGTGATTAGGACGTAACCCATGCATCACATACAAGTCTGAAATGAAAATGACATAAAGCAATAAAGGAGTTTCGGTCCTTAGAACATGAAGACTCACCAATCTTCAATCGAAGCACTCAAGGGATGTCTAGCCACGAGTGCGTGGAATAGGAGCATCAGACCCTACATTAGTGAAACAATGTAAGCACAAGTATACATTAATACATGGAATGTACTAAGTATGATAACAATGCATAAGAGTTATGAAATCATGCTAAAAATGACTTACATGACATGCAATGACCAAGCTAAATCATAAAATAATATGTTAGAAAATATAAGTCATAATCATGGTCAATACAAGCTAAACATCTTTAATACACATTTGAGATACTTTTAGAAAGTAACCTTAATTCGTTATTGTGGGAAGTTTGCCATTACCCGACATAGACCATGTGAGCTATAACATGGAATTCAGTGTCTTTCCCACACCGAAAAGAGATGTCCTTACTTGCCAAGGTAAGAATCATAAACTTGAGCTAAACTGGATCCACTAGCTAATGTCTATCTAAGACAAACCTATGGTGACACATAGTTATGGGACATGGATAATCGTCTCTAGTCCACTCGGTGCTAGGCATAAATCCCACAGAATAGTCATTAATCATTTTCATCTTATTATCCATGGAAAGTCACAATTAAGTAGCCAATTCAAGCTAGAGTCCATTTAAAATAACTCCTAAATCTAGATTCAACTTTAGTTGAGAAAATCTTTCAACCCTATGAATCCTTCTTGTGAGAATAACCTTTCACAACAACAACATCGATGCTTTGCTCTCAAAGCAATCTCAAATTATTCATATCAATTCCATAGAAGGAACATGCATATCTTCATAAATTCATAATTCATAGTTCATAAACTTAATCATGTGCTCATAGTCTAAAGTTCATGGGGCATGCATGGGTTCATATGAATTTAACTCCAAAACATGTAATTACCTCAATTCATGCATAAATAGATAGAAAACAATCAATTTCATCAAGATTGAAAAGAACCCATGAACATTGACTTAAACCCTAACTTTGATTGGGTAATCTAGCGTTGTAAAATTGGAGAATTTAAGAACCCTATGGAGGAAAGGACTTTGAGAGAATTTGGGAGGATGAATTTGGTCAACTTTTGGGAATTTAGGAGAATGAGTTCAAATGGGTAAATTGGGGGCTTAGAACGTTTATATACGGCCTAGGTGTAAACGACGTAGTATTGAGTTAAAACAATTAGGGAAAGACCCCAAAAGCCCTTTAAAAATAACTGTTGAACCCCACCTACGGTTTGGACCTATGGTCCTTCTACGGACTGTACTGGTCAACCGTAGGTAGGTTACTGGTACCTTAAAATTCATCCACCTTTGACGGATCCCATGTACTGTTCGTAGGTCTTCCTACGGTCCATACATGCCATCTGTAGAACCCAACTTTGACCTCAAAATTTCACTAAGTTTGGGACTCACCTACGAGACCTATCTACGACTCTTACAAAGGTTGATGGACCGTCCTGGTGAACCGTAAAAAGGGTATGGGGACTTGTTTTAAAAAAGAATTATTTTCCCACTACCTACGGTTGCCATCTATGGCCCATAGAAGCTTTTACGGTCCGTAGATGGGACTCGTAGATACAGACACCAGCCCAAAAACTGCAATTTTCCTTCTTTTCCAAATCCGAGGTGTTACACTTTCAAGAATTCTTCCTTGATATTCTAGAGTCTTTCCTAAAAACTCTCCATGACTTTAGAATCTTCCCCCAAATGCTTATCATGTAGGCTTCTACATGGACAATTTTATGCCACGTGGCGCCTAAGTGGCATGATGACTTGGGAGGTCATCACATTGAGCCTTTAAAACTTTATACCTCCCTTATAAAAATAAAATGACATACTTTTTTTTTTTGATAAAGGTAACTTTATATTCACGTCAAAACTCATGAGCAGAGCATGATGAGGTGGGATTTACAGCCCCACAGGGGGTAGTTTCAAAAGCCGAAACTGGGCAAAAACTTTACAATTGAGCTCTAAAATCCACTAAGCTATCTACCTCCCCCACCAAATCCTGTTTACACCAAAAATACAGCAAGCTCAAGCTATTCATCTTGATTTTTTGAGTGTTGTTAAGTTTCCCATCATGTGATCTTTCATTCCTTTCCTTCCACAATGTCCACCAAATGCAGGCTGGGATGCACTTCCACCAGTCTTCTTTGGATCTTCTTCTTCTGCCCACTCCTTCCCACTGTCTCAGCAAGTCTAAAGTAGTCTTGGGCATTACCCAGTTAACTCCAAGTATACATAAGAACATGTCCCACAGATTTACAGCTGTTCTGCAGTGTAAGAAAAGATGACTGTTAACTTCTGCCTCTTCCCCACACATGTAACACCTTGAGCAAATCTGTATACCTCTTCTTTGTATCACTTCATGGGTTAGACATGCTTTCCTGATTGCCAGCCAAGTGAAACCTGAAACCTTGTGAGGGATCTTGATTTTCCAAATTAGTTTCCAAGGCCATTCCATTTCCATAGTCTGATTAGAATTTAAACTCAAGTAACTAGACTTCATAGTGAAAATCCCTTTCTTTTGCATCTTCCAGATTGGAGTGTCAGGACCTTCAGTGACACCTGGAAATGCATTAAGTGTTTGTAGTAATTCTGCTACTCTGTCAATCTCCCAGTCATTTAAAGCCCTCCTAAAGATCAAATCCCAACCTTGAGGGCTCCACACCTGTGCCACAGTGTCCATCTGTTGTAGACTCAATATATAAAGATCTGGGAACATGATCTTCAAATTCTCTTCTCCTAACCAGAGTTCATTCCAAAAATTGGTTTTCACCCTATTCCCAATCCTAAAGGATAGATTGGGGATAAAAGATGGCCACAGTCTTCTGATTGTCTTCCAAACAGAGCATCCAAAAGTACCATTTGCTTCTTCAGTGATCCAATTGTTTTGGAGACCATATTTATGTGATATGAATCTCCTCCACAAAGCCAGATCTTCACTACAGAACCTCCATAGCCATTTCTTCAACAAGCTGACATTCTGCGTACTCAACTTTTTTATACCCAAACCACCCTGAATTTTGTTTAGTGTCACTACATCCCATTTAACAAGATTGTACCCAAGCTTCTCTTTATTTCCCTGCCACAGGAAGATTCTTCTTGATTTGTTGATTTTCTTCTCTATACTTCTTGGTATTGGGAATAAGCTCATCATATAAGTAGGGAGTGCATCCATCACTGATTTGATAAGAGTTATTCTGCCTCCCAAGGATAGATACTGACTTTTCCATCTTGACAACTTCCTCTCACATCTTTCTAGTACTTCATTCCAGACTTCCACCTCTTTGTTCTTTGCACCAAGGGGCATTCCAAGGTATTTTGTTGAGAGGGAGGCTACCTGACAGCCTAAATTCTCAGCAAGCACCTGCATATTTGCCACCTGGTTAACTGGGTATAAACAACTTTTATGCCAATTGACATGCAATCCTGATATTCCTTCAAAGATGGTTAAGATGGCCCTCAAGTGTCTTATTTGATTAACTTCAGCTCCACAGAAAACCAAAGAGTCATCTGCTGTGAAATCTCCATAACCTCTCCCCTATTTGCATTTGCACAAAACACTTGCAGCCAGCCATTCTCACTTGCTTTCCTGATCATGGAGTTGAAGCCCTCCATAGCTAAGATAAATAGGAATGGTGACATAGGATCACCTTGTCTCAAACCTCTTTGTGACTGAAAAAACCCTTCGGGATTGCCATTAATGATAAGGGAGAACTTCACAGTAGATATACAAATCTCAATCCACTTGATCCATTTATTTCCAAAGCCCATATCTCTCAAAATCTTCAGGAGGAAGGACCAATTTACATGGTCATAAGCCTTCTCAATGTCCAGCTTGCATAAGACTCCAGGTAGATTTTGCTTCACCCTGCAGTCCACTAATTCATTTGCTAGCATTGATGCATCCATTATCTGCCTACCCTTCAGAAAAGCCATTTGGTGCTCATCCACCAATACCCCAATGACCTTCTTCATTCTTTCTGTGAGAAGCTTGGCTATGATTTTGTATACTCCGCCAATCAGACTTATTGGTCTGAAGTCCTTCAACTCTTCTGCTCCATGCTTTTTAGGGATTAAGGCTACAAAAGTGGCATTGAATGATTTCTCAAAAGTTTCCTTCTGGTGAAAGTTATGAATTGTCTGCATCAAGTCCTCCTTCAAAGTCTCCCAGCAGACTTTGAAGAAACTCATGGTGAATCCATCAGGCCCAGGTGCCTTGTCACCATCACAGTGTTTGATTATATTTAGCACTTCATCTTCACTGAAAGGTCTTTGCAACCACTCTTGTTCCTCTTGGGATATTCTAGGACAATTCACATACTCAAAAGAAGGCCTCCATAGCTCTGTTTCAGTATAGAGTTTTTTATAGAACTCAATCATATTCAACTTAATGTCTTCTGGCTCTTTGACCTCCTCTCCACTGATTATTAGTCTGTCTATATTATTATATCTCTTGTGAGCTGTAGCCATCCTTTGGAAAAACCTAGTATTGTTGTCTCCCTGTTTCAACCATAGAATCCTAGATTTTTGTCTCCACCTAGACTCCTCAATTTTTGCCAGTTCTTCCAATTCTACCAAGATTGTAGCCCTCACCATCAGCTCATCCTCTGTCAGAAGTCTTGAATCTTGTGCCAGATCAATGTCACCTAATTCAGATAACTTGTTTTTCTTAGTGCCTAGTTCCCCACCTACTTGCTTACTCCATTATTTGAGTTTCTGTTTCAGCAACTTCAGTTTCATACTGAGCTTGTAGTCAGGGTAGCCTTCAACTACAAACTCACTCCACCAACTATCAACTAGTCCCTTGAAACCATCCACTTTGAGCCACCAATTCTCGAACTTGAAGTAGGACTTATTCTGCCACCAGTCCCCCACATTGTAGCATAATAGGGCTATGATCAGATGTCACTCTAGGCATTATCGTCTGCCTTATATTTGAAGGTTTCTTCCCATTCCCTTGAATATAAGAATCTGTCTAACCTGGATGCACTGTGGTGGTTTGCCCCTCTGAACCATGTAAAATTCCCACCTTTTAATTGAGGGTCGTGTAATTCCATCTCCTCAATCCAGTTGGAAAAATCTTTCGTCACATTTGTGATCCTACTGCATCCTCTTCTTTCTGCCATGACTCTAACTGTGTTAAAGTCTCCACATGTGACCCATGGACCATCACAAATAGTTCTAACTGCAGCTATTTCCTCCCAACAAAGTAGCTTCTCATCCCTGGTATGGGGAGCATACACTCCAGTGAGGTACCAGGTATAAACGTTTTGAGTTGATACAAATTCATAGGTGATGGAGGATTGACCAGCTTCAACTAAAGTCCCTCTCCAAATTCTGCTGTCCCACATCATAAGGACACCCCCACAGCTACCCTCAGCTTCCAGGTAACCACATATCATCCATCGGCATGACCATAATTGCTTAGCCATTGCTTCAACTTCCTTGCTGATCCTTGTTTCTTGAAAGCAGTAGACATCCGCTTTCCATTTTTGCATTAGACTCTTCACCATTATTCTCTTGTTTTTGATCGTTTAGCCCCCTTACATTCCATGTCAATAGTTTGACTTTCATTTAAAAGTTAAACTTAAATTCTCCCCCTGCTCCTACTGCCTTCCACTTCTTCATTAAGGCTGGATTTTAAATTTTTCAGTTCATTTTTCCCAATTCTACTCTTTGGAGTAGACACTGCCTTACCAGACCCCTTATTATCCAACATTGATTTCCTCTCATCGATCTTCATTAATTGGGCTATGGTTTCTTTTTCGAAGCCTTTGAAAGCTACCCCATAGGTATTGCTCAGCTCTAGGATATGAGAATTGACCCAATTTGATGCTTCTGTCTCGATAATTTCTTGAGAACTTGGGAATTGAATATTGACTGGGGTCAACCTCATGAATCTGCTGTATCTGCAAGTTTTGTTCTGCCTCTTGCATGATATTAGTTGTTCTTATTTCAGATTCTTTTCTTGTCTTGGAGCATTCTTGATTACGAGTCGTTTCCTGGTTGGAAACAATTTTTGCATCCCCTTCTTTTTGCCCCATTGTGTCTTCCTCCACCTCGGCTTCTTTTTCCCAGTTTTTGAAAGCTTGCAGGAACTTAGATGCCAGGTCTTTAATTTCTCTAAGATCTTTCTCCCCCTTCATGCCTCTCTCACGTGAGAAGTCATTTAGACTTTTGGGCTTTTTAGTATTATCAGTTAGATCTGGCTGTTTGTGATGTTGATTGTGTTTTGGGCCTTGATTTAATAAGGGTGAGAATCGGCCCAAATTTGCCATCAAGTTTGAATTAGAAGTGGCCCCAGGTCCTTTGTCCTTTACTGCCACCCACGTGTTTCAAAGCTGGCAGCCCCATCAGTCCTTCTATTTGCCACTGGATAATTCCTCGAGAGTTGCTGGATAATAGGGGGCGACTCACTATCTTCTCCAACAACGTATCTCGCCGGCAACTCTGTCCACAATTGCATGGAGAAGGAAATTCCGGCATTGAGGATTGTCACCTCCTTCGGGATCCTCGAACCTCGCCTTCAACCCTAATTCTTGCCCATTTAAGGTGATTTCTTAGTTGCGTCTCTTCCTCTGTTTCGACCCAACCCCCGCAAAAATCTCCGATGGATTTGAAGATTGTCTGCGACCATAGATGAAGTGGGAGGCCAACAATTCTAATCCAGGTCGAGCTTGACCCATTCTCTCTGTTTGATGCCACTATTGTTGGTGTCCAACAGTCCAAATGGACTTTTGTGTTACACCAGACCCAATCCCCTGCAATCACTTGTTCAGCCGTATCTCTTGTCGCAAACTCGAACAAGAATTTTCCACCCCCCATCTCGTAAGTATTCAAACCATGAGTTTGTCTCCAGTTCTTGTTGGTCCAACCCCTCACTTCCGACAGGGTAGGTACGGTCATATCCCTTCCTTCAAAGCTTCCAACTAAGCTTCTCTGTAGGACTTCATCATGGGTATTCGGGGCATCATTAATGCGAATAATTTCCTGATCCTTCTCCTTCATTAATGTTGCTCTAACATTAACTCCATCTCCTTTACTGTTTGACCATTTAAAGCTCCTAACCGCCTCTGCAAAAGAGACATTGCTATCCACTAGTCTCTGTTTCATTCTGTTTTCCTCCACTCTATGTCTAGCGAGAAAACTCCCTATTTTATCTGCAAAGATGTCCCATCCTGAGTTAAAAGACAACTCAGGGATGATTATAACGGACCTCCTTCTGCCTCTTATATTTATCAGGCTGAAGTATCTGCCGTGTTTGTTGAAATTCCTAGCACAAAAAATTTCCGAGAGGGATTCTGTTTTCTTCCACCTTTTGACGGAATTTCCTTTTTCCTTTGAAGCTTCATGCAAGATCTGGGTGATCCATATCATAGACCTCTTGCTAAAGGAGGTTCTTGTGATGACCCTTCTGCTCCTTTCCGTCCATTCGTACCATTCGCCAGCCATATCGCTAATTCTCTCGATGTCAAAAGACTTAAAACCTATCGCAAAATAAATACAGTCCTCCATAATAGAGGAAGGTTTCACAGAAAAGGATGAAATTGAGGGTTTCCGGTGATCGGAAGGACCACCGAAAAGGGGATGATGGGGTGAATCTAAAACATATTTTGGGAACTGTGAGGAAGGTTTAACAGAAAAAGGATGAAATTGAGGGTTTCCGGTGATCGGAAGGACCACCGAAAAGGGGATGATGAGGTGAGTCTAAAACATATTTTGGGAACTGTGTCTGGGAGAAAAGTTTTTCATTCATTTAATGCTATAAAATGAGGGAGGCATTAAGTATAAAATGACATACTTAATGCCTCCCTCATAAAAACAAAAGACAAACTTTATGCCACCCTTGTAAAAATAAAAGGCATACTTTATGCTGTATTATTTAAATTTCATGTGTCATGTTTGACACACCTTAGAAGAAGGAAAGCAAGGAGAGGGGGAAGGGGTAGAGAACAGGCGCATGCGCAATGTTCAAGTGTATTTGGATTAGATATATCCACAAGTTTCTTTTTAGTTTTTAGTTGATCATTTAAGGTTGACAGTGATGTTACCTGACTGCTTACTGCTTTGTTAATCTTTGAATCTTCGTCAGCTAGATGTGAAGTTGAAGAATGAAGATTTGAGAATGGACACTTACAGATCAGGGGGATCAGGAGGTCAGCATGCAAACACCACAAACAGTGCTGTTAGAATCACTCACGTGCCATCAGGAATAACTGTTTCCATACAAGATCAGCGCTCCCAGCATATGGTAAAGTGTGCAACCTTTTGGCAGTTTTTCCCTTGGCCGTGTGGTTTGTTCAAAGTCTTAGCATAACTCTGAGCAGCAATCTTTATGTGTTCCATGCATTGTTTTGACTAAACGTCATGACAATCTATGGTAAATTATACTTCTAATTTCCTTCTCCTTCTCTCAGTTCATCTTGTTGATATGTTATGTGCAAATCACATTAGTTTATTTTGTTTTTTTATGACTTTCTTCTTGTACTATGTTTTGTATTACTGTTACTTCTTCACCGACCTTTGACAGTGCAGTTGAATAGATGGATAATTATAAACCTAATTTCTCATGAGGCTGTCACTCATTATCAAACATTCTTAGGGTTTGTTTGGTTGTTGGTTAGAATTATGCATTTATTAGTAATAATTTTTTTTATTAACCAGAGTTTCTATCTTGCATAAAATAATACATGAATTCCCTCATAACTTATACATGTATTAGCTATGCAGATTTTAAATTGATAATCCACAATGTATTTGGTGTATTGAATTTTATACATAGCAAAAAATGCTACCAAACATGGTGCAAGTTATGCAAAATTTAATACATGAATAAATCACCTCCTAGCCAATAATTTCGTTTGATAGCTGGTTAAAGTTATGTAAGTATTAGTTATGAGAGAATCTATGTATTATTTTATGCAAGTATTAGTTATGTAGGGTTTAGTTATTCATGACTTTGTGTATTAGTTATACATGTATTATTTATTCCACCTATCCAGCATAAAATAATTTATACATGAATTACTTACCTCCTAACCTACTACCAAACATGGTATTACTTATGCAGGATTTCTCACTTAGACCCAATAGCGGGCAGCATGAAGCACTCTAAGATAGGGCATGCTCTACCGCATGCCGTCCCGCTTGATCTGGCATGCAAGATTTAATACCAACATAACTCACCTCCAAAATCAGCTACCAAACGACCCCTAAGTGTTAAAATTATCACACTATCTAACTGCTAACTTTTTAGGAACTTGTCCATCTGATATGCTTTGTGTGCGAAATTATATTTTTCTTGCTGTTGGCAGTTACCCTTGATCTATTAAAACCTGAGCTCATGTAACAGTTTGCTAGTTACTTGAGATGAATTTGCGGAAATAAATAAAGCTGTAACATGATTCCTCAATTGTCTTGGTCTCCCTGAGGAACATATTTAGCTGCTTGAAGGAGTAAACAGATTTTGAGGATGTGTGCCTTTTTTAGTATTCTTATAATGTTCTTAGTCATATATGTTAAGCCTACTGCTCATTTAGTTCATTTTGGTATGTGTTCCTTGGCATCATTGCTGATTATTGGTTACGAGCCATTCTGGCATGATAGCTTGTTAGCTTCCGCTTGCTTCAATGTTTTTTTTCTTTCTGAAAATCTTTTAGCCCACTCATTTGCTTTTTTTATTTTGGTATTTTGTTCAGAACAAGGCCAAAGCACTAAAAATATTATGTGCAAAACTATATGAAATAGAGCGACTCAGCAGTCAGTCAAGTAGATCGAAACTTCGATTGGAGCAGGTAGAATTTAGTGACATAAAAGAATATTTTTTCTGTTTCCTTTTTGGAATATTAATACTATATAATCCATTCTCAAAAAAAAATATTAATACTATATTATCTACACATGTTGAGTAGATTGGCAGTGGGGACAGATCAGAGCGGATCCGCACCTATAACTTCCCTCAAGGACGGGTTACTGATCACCGTGTTGGCATCACAACGCATTCCATAGATGATGTTCTCCAGGGAGAAGATTTGGATGCTTTTATTGATGCTCTCCTATTGCGGCAGGAAATGGACGCGATTGCATCATTCAGCTCCACGTAATGTTATTGATCACCCTTTATTGATCACCCTTTGGTGGAGGGATTGTGCATTGATAAATTGTTGTTTCCATTGTGCTTGAAGCTGTTATAAGAGCAGCAGTTTTTAACCTTTAAATACATTAGAATGGAGGGAAGAAGTTAATACGTTTTAGGTTAGGGAAGCTGAAAATAATGTAGTTGGTCGGACACAAGTCAGTTTTTGTAGTGGATTTGGTAGGGATACAAGTCATTTTTATCAAATGTATTTTCCAGTATTTGGTGTCCTCACACATATAAATTGAAGATTAAAAATACTATGTTAATTTAAATATACTATTAGCATATCAGACCCTTCTGATTTAATAATTAATAATAATTATAATAATAATAATAATAATAATAATAATAATAATAATAATAACAAATAATAATGTCTTATGCCTCATTTCTTTCAATTATACGATTAAGACGTCTGAATTAGAATAAGCATTTGAATATTAAGATGTGCATTAAGATCTAGATGTTTAGATTTGAATACACATCTAAATATTCGGACGTTGTTTCTAGATCTGAATATTGAATGTTTAAGATTGCTTGTCTTCAATATCTGAATATAATGTGGATATGGAATTAAATTGTTATCAATAAAATATCATAAAAAAATCATTCCGTCAAAAAATAATATTTTAAATATTTATATTTGATTAAAAAATTGAATTATATGATAGACAAATAAAAATTATATATCAGTATAAAAATTATTATAACATGATATTTTAAAAAATTCAACATAAACATCTTTTTATAAAAATAATTATCCAACTTTAACAAATAATAGAGAAGGTTTCCAGATCTGCCATCAAGCTGAAGAAATGGATCGATTTTCTTGAGAGCAAATGAAGAGATGAATGTGTTCTTACCTTTTATTTTTCTTTTCTAGATAGTTCTGTGTTTTGTTTCATTTGGTTTTGATTTTAAGACCAACATCGTTCATTGTTGGAAAAAGAAGAAGAAGCAGGTTCCATATTATCAATGCCTAACATATATTTTAGCTAATTAGAAAAAATAAAGAATTTTTATTTTCCCAAATGACATTAAACCAATTCTCTAAATTGTGAACCACTAGCGTCATTCATGCCTTCTTTTTGTAGGTGTCAATTTTACAAAATATACTATAGTTCTACGGTATAATGGTTCTTCCCATCTAAGGCCATCTATTTTTTCCTTTCATTCTTCAAACACTATTTTTTTAATCAATAGCATTCACCTAATCAGAAGGGCGGATCACCCACCTGACCTCGCCTAAAGTAACAGTGCTCACAATTGAAAATGTTCAAGGTAGGTCGGCGAACTAATGAAAAAAATGACGACTTAACGAATTTGATGGGTGAACTGAATGACCATCGTCGAAGGTGACATGATGGATAAAATATGAAGACATCAAAGGTGAACAAAGGTAGTACTAAGTGATTCACCGAATATGAAAGGTAGACTCAAACAAGTTTGCCGACTGAGGTTCAAAAGCCTGAAGCTTGAAGCAAGAGAAAGGTGAGCTAAGGAGTAGATGATAACCCATCGAATATTTTTAGCTAGCCCGAATAACGTCCCTGAAGTGGTCGCGCATTGAATTTTGGGCCAATTTTTGAGAAACTATAAATTTCCCAAAGGAGAGAATGTATCAGATTTTAGAGGAGATTTTTCGAATAGAATTTCAGTTTCTAACTTTGTATGAGTTTTGAACTCTTAGAGAAATATTCTTAGTTTTGGAGTTTCAACTTTTGCTCTTGGATTTGACAATTTGAGGTTTAAATCAAAGTGGTTGTTGATTATAATTGCTTACATTCATCACATCCATGGCTGCCATCGCCACTCCCCATGCTGGTAAGAAAAGGGTCAACCCGGTGGCGCATCGACGTCTTGAGCGAGTGAGAGCCTTGATCCAAGGCCCAGTTAATCCTACTATCTTCAGGAGCTAAGCCTGGCCTCTTCTTTCACTTGAACTGCCAAGACTCGGTTTTTTATCACAATTGCTCCTTGTGATGCAGCGGAACCATGGCAATTAGGATCTCTGTGGTATTCTTAGTTCCTTAAAAGTTCCGCTTAATGGCAATGGGGGTGTGCGATTTATTTTCCCACACTTCAGAATAGTAGAAATGAGTGTAATTCGAGTTATTTCACGGAATAACACTCGTATATATTGAGCTCGTAATGGCGCGGCGGCTATGCGCATGTGTCCCAAAGTGACGTACCAATTAGTAGTGATTGAATTCCTTCTATGGTTCCACATGAGAAACCATAATATGTATAATTTCTTTTCTTTTTATGATGTGTGGCTAAACACCCAATTTTATGGGTGCAATTATGAGGTCGGGTGTTGATTAATATAGTGAGTATTGTGTTTTTCCCATGTTTTATTGTTGTTCATTCATGAATTTGGACTAATTAGCATGAAGTTAATTCATAGGTTAAGGTTGCAAACATAATCCTAGTGTAATATTGGATTGATGCTAGAAAGAGATCAATTAGAGTGGGTTATTAGTTTATTACATGCAATTTAGGTTTGATATCTATGTTTTGCTTGAAAGATAAAATATGGGTCGAGTCTATTTGCCCAAAAATCTGCTTGAAACAGAGCTTCTATAAGGTAATGGGTTGATTTGTAAATCACATAGATGAGATAGAAAGGAGATTCTATAAATTGGTTTTATGAGATTGAAAGATGATTAATGTCATTAAAGATGACCCAACATATCCATGATTGTTTAGCATTATTGAGCAACATAATTACCTGTATGTGACATTAATTACAATCCCTACACACCTAGATTGTTTCCTGATTGTTTGAATTTCTGAAGTTCTAGTTTAATTGCGACTCTTGATATCAAACCCCTTTTTCGTAAATTTGGTGGAATCATCCACATATTGTTCTTAACTGATGCAAATGAATTGATTTACAATCTAAATTTCCTGATAGAATTCCTTGCTCTATATCACTCTATGTGGGATCCGACCCCTACTCTTAGTTAGGTATTTTTATTGAAGACAATCGCTTATGATCTTACTGGTTTTGAGTATAGTTTGAGCGCCATTAGGCGGCTACACGGGCAATCTTCTTGATCTTAAGCCCATCTTCGATAGTCTCACCCACTTTGACTATCTTGGCAAATATTGCCCCGATGAGAAATATTATCATTGTAACACCCCAGATTCGGAAAAGTAAAAATGCAGAATTTCAGCAGTTGCAGGTGCCACCAACGGGAGGCCACCTACGGACCGTAGGTGGGGTCCGTGGTTGCCCACCTGCAACTCCCTCCCTAGAACCCCAGAAAGTTCAGCTAAGTCTTGACCTATGCCAGGACCTAAGATCGTAGGTGGGACCACAGTCCATGGTCCAGGTCCATGGTTCAGACCCCCAGCTTCCAACTTTCTAATGCCAATCGACGGACTGACAGGACGGGCCGTTGGTCAGTCCACGGACCGTCGATTAGTCCCGTCGATGGCTGATTAACGTTTCAAGGACACTTCATCCAATTCTAAGTGTCAACGATTGCTAGTCAGTATAAAACCCAACTAAATGAGTTGGGGTCGAATCCCACAGGGAGTGGTACGTGTTTAAGATTCAATAGAAAAGTGTGAACATGATCAAGTCAGTCATAGGAATAGACATTATCGAATGAAACCATAATTCAAATCAGGGGGTGACTCGAATGTCAAATGGGGGTTTTAGTTTTGATTATCACCTACAACAACAACAATAAACAATACGAAATAACAATAATGAGACGGGTTCTTGGGATGTGATTTGATTATAGGCTAATGTAGATAAATGGGTAATTGCAGCTGTTAGGAAATAACTGTATATTAGTGAATAAGCTAGACTATAGAGGAGGTAAACTTTCTCTCGAACAATTTACCCCGAATCAAGTTGATTTCTCTCGAACATCAACAAGCATGCAAAATAAGAACAACCTATGCTTTAGTCCATTCACTCTCTCGAGCTGAATGTATGGAAAATGGTTTAGGATTCACTCTCTCGAGATGAACCCATGACAACCCAATACCCACTGACCATCAATCAATAATCTTAGTTTTAAAACCTCTCTCTCGAGCAAGCCAAAAACACAAGGGTAAAACTATATTTGCTATTACAATTCTTAAATTGAACCACAATTAATGATTGAAATCACTTCTTAACAACATTTAAACTAACAATTAGCAATACCCATAAACTAAATCAATCCATAATCATAATCACACCCCAAGAATTGGGGTTTTAGCTAGACATCATAAAAAGATAAAAATTGTTACCAAATTGAGTTTCCATCAACTAGGTAAGATTAATTTCGTCCTTACAATGATCCAAGTCGAAGAATCTCAAAGACCCACTTCCAATTTCTCAAAAGTGAAAAACTTTAATTCTCCAAATCTTAGGAAAAACTATAGAAACTTGTCTCAATACTCAGAATAATTCCCATTCTAAAAATGAAAATTAGCTGTAATGAAAATATGATAATAATTGCTTCTAAACTAAATGTTCAAAAATGTATTTATAGTTGCCAAAAATGTGCTGCGAAGAGTCACTCAGCGAAGTAAGTCGGGCTCGCCGATCCACTCGGCGATCTACCCTTTGGTCAATTCCATCGCCCTTTTGCCTTGGCCTTCAACATCCTCAAGGTTTGTAACTTTGGGAGATCCATCACTGCATCGGCGAACCACTCGGCAATCTGTCGACTGCTCCTTCCTCTTGCTGACTTGGTTATTTCCTTCAGAGTTTGGCACACTGGAACTTTAGGCGGTCAAGAAGCCGTTCGGCGCCTCGCCAAGTGGACTTGGCGATCACGAGGCTTACTTTTCTTCATTCTTTCAGCTCACTTCGTTCCTTTTTGCAAATTAGTGTCCTTGCTTTGTTCCTCAATCCAAATACCTGGAAATCAAGGGTTTTACATAAGTTATTTGCACAAAATAAGCATTTGAGGACACTAAATCTATATAAATAAAGCCCTAAATGAGTTCAAATCTCGAACTCATCAACACCCCCAACTTAAACTTTTGCTTTTCTTCAAGTAAAACTCAAGTTCAGCAGTTCAAAAAGGATGTCTCAAACAGTGCTACACAAGACTCAATCATGAATGCATACAACAAGACTCAAATTTACTTATGCAAGGATAAATTGTGCACTCAAATGTTCAAGTTATGACTCACCATTAGCAAAGATTCTCAAGTTCACAATACTTGCTTCAAATGCAAGTTCAAGCTCAACAAAGGTACTCAAATGCCCTTACACAAAG